ACGACACACACACACACACACACACACACACACACACACACGGATTTCAGAAAAAGCATTTACACTTGACCTTAGAACTGGCTGATTTGCAAGGTTAAAAAAAATTAATAGGAAACTATTATAACAAATTCAAATTGGTTTGGGAATACAAACCAGAGAGTATTATTAAAGAAGTACAAATGTCAAGACTGTGGTGGGTGAAAGGGCTGAAGTGGTGAAATAGGTGGGAAGTGACAAAATGGCCAGCATGCAACCCATTGTTTGCTTTGCACTGTACATACCTAACTATGGATAATAGGATGATGCTGTATAGCCTGGTGGGAAAGAACGCAGAAGAAAATACAGCATAGAGGAACAAAACAAATCTCAAGTAATTTGACTAAGTAAGGCTAATGGACTGAAAAATGGCTTATGCTATTCAGTGGAGTAAGAAAGAACAGAAGGATATTAAATAATCGTGGATGTTACAATCTCACAAAATTTTAATACAGAAGACAAACCATGAAGAATTCTTAAGATGAATGAATAATGCACTGAAACCAAGGACAAGACATCTGGCAGAAATATAAAAATAGAAATAGCAATCTACATCCAGAAATGAAAGCCTCATCTCCAAAGGACTTATCTACACTTACAGTAGTGCAGCAGCACCGATGGAGCACTTAGTGAAAACACTACCTGTGCTGACGGGAACTTGTCCCATTGGCACTCCACCTCCCCAAGAGGCGGTAGCTTTGACGACGGGAGAGGCCCTCCTTTGACATAGCACTGTTTATGCCGATGGTTAGGTCAGATTTTCCAACTCCCTCAGTGATGTAGTTATACCAACAAAGTTTGTAGTGTAGACCAGGGCTATGAAAGCTTCTGGGACTACACTGGGTCCAGGACTGAAGCCAGGTGCCCAGAGTCAGTTTATCCAATCCTGTCTGGCGTATTTTATTCCTGGGAAGGTGGGAGGGGGAGAAAGAGGAGCTGAGTCAATCCCGTCTGAACTGCGCAGTCGGGTGGAACAGCATTCTGCTCACAGAGCCAGCCAAGCTCTCCAACAAGACACTCAATAAAGGCTTGAAGCAGGAGACACAGACCCTTCCTTTTGCCCCTGGGTTTTCTCAGCTTAACTCTCTCCCTTAAGCCTGCAGGGGCACCAGCTGCTGCAAACACCTCAAAAGGGGAAGCACAGCTGAGGGGACAATTACCCCTAAAATCAATGCAGCCCTGGGACAGAGCTGCGGATCAGACCAACACATTACAAAGCCGAGCTGTTAGTCAGAAATTGGAAATTGTTTGGAATTTCCCTCAGTAAAGCTCTGCAGCAGGGAGGCCTCACTAAGCCGCCAGCTGTTGTGGAGGCAGAAAAATCCTGGAGGGAAATTCAGGAGATGGGGCATTTCGCTGCTATCACTGATTGTCAGGTCCGAATCTTCCCCCAAGCTGCAAACAGGCTAAAGTACCATTGTGTTGGAGTTTTGGACAAGGATTTTGTGGCTACCATGATCCTGCTAAATCTGGGGGAAAAGTTGGGGGTATCTCATCCTTAAACTGATGGTGCTGATTCAGTTCATAAGAGCACAGAAATTCCAAGGCAGTGGCTTTGTATTAAGCCACTCACTTCAGTGTGAATGAGTATTACAGCACATAACATATGGTTGCACACTATTCTGAAATCCACCAAATAGCGTAGCTCATTTTATGTTGTTAGTGGCAAGCAGAGCCCTGTGTTTTTTTGCAAATGTGAAATATAAAATAAAACAAAAAACAATGATTAAAACAACATATGATGAAAAACCTCACTCTGCAGCAGCTCCTGCCCCTCCAGGCTGGTCCTGGATCCCTGCTCTGGGCATTGCAACTTCGTGCATGGGATTACAGTGCTGCTCAGGTCTGGCCTCGTCACCCCTCTGTCATGATGATGGGAGGGTGGCCGCGCCAAATTTGAACAAGTAGCATTGTGACCTGACACATGGGGTTGCAGTGCCGCTCAGGACCTGCCCCCTCCCATCCTGGGGGGCAGGCCCCGACCCGCTGGTGTGGGGAAGGGGAGTTTGGAAAAAATGATATAACAAGAAATTCACAAAAAATAAAATGCAAAATTATAAAAAAAAAAATTCATGGGTCTCTAGTAATAAATTGTACCAATTCCTTCCCTCCAGCTCCCCTAGTTTAGGGATTCAAAGGTTCTAAGCTGCTGTGTATCATATACATTATGAGCTTTCCCAGCTCCTGCAAACTGGCTTTGAGCATACCTTTGTATCAGTTTGTCTTCCTTACCTTTCAGATGTCAACTGTCTCCACAGACTAAGGAATAAGATCAAGCACTCCACTATAACTTTGTTCTATTCATAACTGACAAGTTCTGTGCAGCTCCACATGTGACATTTTATGAAAATCACTTAATGAGCTGAAGGGCATACAACCATAAATTTCAACTTATGAAGAACACACCTGCCCCCAAGCATTGGCCAGGGGTAGGGCATGGAGCTGCAGAACACTTGGCAGGTATAGCTGCAGCTGTGGTGTTGGTGTGCTGGTGTTTCTGGGCTCTGTCTGAAGGCTTCTGAGATTGCTGGGGTGGGTAGGTGGCTAATATGCTCGGGTACTGTATGGGAAGTAGGTGGGGTTGTCTAAGAAGTAGTTGGGGGAGTTGACATGGCATTCTGGAGTGGGCAATGGGGGCCAGTCTTGAGCACTCATCTTCTACCCTCACTAGCTGTGTGGCCTCTGCTGCTGCATCTGCTCTCAACTACTGCAGCAGACTGCTCCTCCCATCTGCTCCTTCCCTGCTGTATTCCAGTATGGGGAACAGCATGAGGGAAACTCAAGGATCTGCCCCATGTGATGTAGCAGAAAGGCAGAACCGCTGGCAAACACTTGCTGCCTTCCCACAGCTCAGCCACATACACATACACGGGCATTCTGCTGAGATGTGGGAATGCATGACAGGGCAACCAAATCTGGGAATGTCATGCAAAATTTGTCACATTTGGCAGCCTTGGCTATTGTACTCCCCACCAGGGTAGAAGCTGACCATTGAGTGCCATCCCTGACTTTGGAATTTTCTGACAAAAAAAATCAGGTTAAACTTATTGGAAAAAATGATCATGAGAAGTTGGATGAGCCAGGACATTGGTAATGGGAGATAGAACCTCAAGCTTTTGGTGGCAGCTTCAAATCAAGTCTCAGCTTGGTAGAGATCAAATGTTGCTACCATCCAATTGCTGCTCAGTAGACTATATCAGGGGTTCTCAGTTTTTCACAGTATGTACCAAATCTTAACAGATTTTCTTGAGGACCACTTCCCTTTCAATTGCATAGACTGCCTCCCCTTCCATTTCTGATTGCATATTATAGTGGCAACTACATACATTGCTGACTTGTAAAAGTGATATCAGGTAAGTATTTAATGTATTTCAGATGTCTTAACAAAATTTAGCATCTGGAAACAAGGAGTACCAATACAGAGAACCAGCTGGCTCTCTGCAGACCACTCATAGCAGCTCTGACATACAAGCTGAAAATCACTGATCTTTATGAACTGAGTCTAAGGATGTCTGCTCCCAAGCAGACAAGTGTCCATATCACAAAAACTACCTTTCTGAGACTGCCAAAGGATGGTATGAATCTGAAAGCTGAACTCTATGCACTCTCTCTCTCTCTCACTCCTGTGGTTGTCTACACACTAACAATTAAAACCCAACAACACCTTTTGTTATTTCAGTGCAAGTCTGCCTGTGGACAATCTTACTTA